TGAAGTACAATTATATGGTGTTTTAAGACAAATCTTGCCTTCTATGGCCATTTGAGATGACATTGTTGAGGCTGTGGGCTTTGTCTCCTTTCATAAATGTAAGGTAGCTATTGTGGGATTAAATACTCAGATCGGAGAGCTAGAAAAAGGACACAGAATGACTTGGAGAAGAAACTTGAGGGTGAATACTAGCAGCAACTGGCATTCTCTAAACACATTTTCTCCTCCGCTCTTGATCTTTTCTTCATACTTAAACAAGAACTGGGTTGGTAGGTCAGCTAAGTAGCCTTGATACCTTACTTTGCCTGAATTATAGCATTATTTTGGCTAGTTACGATTAGCATTCTGAAATGGTTGAATCTGTATTTATAGAACTTCAGGTACAGACAGTTTTATGTCTCCTCCTCTCTCCTTCTCAGTAGTAGTATACTAAACTGAATGCTGCAGGTTTGCTAGGTTTTTTTTTTTTTTTTTTTTAACGGTCATGAACAAGCTTGGAATGGTAATAATTTCCTACCTCTCAGAGGTGTTGAGGCAGAATCTATTAATGTTTATAGAGCACCTTCAGATCTATGATGTAAGATCTTTTGCTACTTAAGGGTATGTCTACATTGCAGAGCTTTTTTTTGGAAATATGGCTGTTTTTCTGAAAAAACTTCACTTAAGTCCACACAGCAATCTCATTCTTTCAAAAAAAAAAAAAAATCCGGAAAGAACAAATCAGTTTTTCCAACATTGGTAAACCTCTTTCTACAAGAAAGAAGCCTTTTTCTGAAAGAGCTCTTTCAGAAAAAGACGTGTGTGGATGGGGAAGAGGGAGTCCTTTTGAAAGAAGAGGAAAGAGGAAAAAGCACAGGTGGCCTGGTAGCCATTCTGCCCATAGTAATCACAGCTTAAATGCGAGAGAGCGTCCATTCAGTGTGGACGCTATCTTTTGAAAAAGCAGATCCGTTTTTCTATGCGCTTTGGCAGTGCCAGCATGCTCTTTTGGAAGAAGTTTTTTCAGAAGATCTCTTCTGGAAAAACTTCTTCCGAAAGAAGCCTGCAATCTAGATGTAGCCTAAACGGAAAATGCTGTGAGACTTTTATAATGTTCATTATATTATAAAAACAGTCTGTTTTCTTTTTAATGAAACTGTTCTGTTCTGCTAATGTTTTTGCTCAAGTAGTGAATTTCACTGATTTAACATGCTATCTTTTTATTATAGCTGAAATAATTGAAAAAAAAAAGGCTAAATACACTTTAGAGTGCCTTTTGATCTTGAACTTTTAGAGTAGACAATTGAGGGCTCCAATTTGAAACATTTGGTTTTCTATGTCCTTACCTTTTAAAATATTCTTGAAAAAAAGCATTTTTGTAAAAATGTGCTACCTGAAATTGTACTTGGAGGATAAAAAAAAGAATCAGCTTCAAAAGTAAAAGATGAAGATGTAATGCTCTAGGGAATGAAAGTGGCTTTATTTTAAGAACTGTGTACTCCACAGTGGATTTATGTAAGGTCTCTTCTTGAGTCAGCTTCATGTACCAGCTGCTAATTGTTATGTATTCTGTTCCTATTCCAGATAGCAATTACTATATTTTTTTTCTGGGTGTGACATTCCCCAAGGTGCAATCTGAACTACTGTGTCCCTTAAGCATTCCAGCCTGGATATCTTTTACTCTCCTTTGCTAGTAAACAGCATGTAAAGATGAATACGTGAGTGTTATTCCAAGCCATCCATGAATAGATACAGCATTGAACCTATATCATCCATCACACAAGGTTACACATGCATTGTCTTCAAACCTGGCTATGGACGCAGTAAGTTCCTCATAGGCACAGCTTGCACAAACTCTTCACCATGACCAACACGGTGGAAGATTCCGTTATGGTGGACCAACCCAGACAATGTCTTCATTAGAGTGGCCGTCGTATAGAATCCATCTACCCTTAGCATTACTATGAACATGTCCCTCCTAGGCTGGGGGACACACTCAAAGACACATTACATTCATGCACGCTGATCTACAATGGAGTCCCAACTTCATGTCCATCTACCGGAACTTCACACAGTTTACAATGCCTGCTCACACTTTTTGCATCGATCTGAAA